TAACTTTTCATTTTATGTTTTGTTAGGTTTAATTTTTTATTTTAATTTGATGTTTCTAGGTTCTGATTTCTATCTCTTCTTTTTTAATTGCAATTTATTTCATGTTTTTAATTTTACTTAATGTAATTTTAAGATTTGTAGCTATCTATTTTTAGCAACCTATCATTTTAGGTAACTCAATTTTAGGACTATTTCTTTTAGGTATTTTCTTTCCATAATTGGTAGTTTAATTAGGTTTAATTTACTTTGTAATATTGTTAGATTAATTTAGGTTAATTAGTTCACTTCAAATTTTTCATAGGACTAGATATACCCAAAATGTCAAAATTAGTATTTACCTTTAGGTCTAAAACTCCTAATCCCTAAAGAGATGATTTTTGAAATACTTCTAATCTTTTTTTATTTTTGCGACCCGTATACTTGTTGTACTCCTGAAGGGTTAGCAACAACATTATGAACCCGTCACCTCTCAACTTCTTTTATATTCTCTACAGCTTACCTTTTTTCTCCAAAAACCTTAGACACTTGACTTACTTGAGCATCAAAGCGTATCTCGAAAAACAAACTTTAATGCCCATTTGACTATATTTTCCTATTACAGGTACAAGTTATTCCCAATTCAACCTTCGAATAACCATCTAGTTCACTCATACCCAAAACACCATGAACAATTCCATTAAAAACTAAATGTTGTATATTCAATCAAAAGAAAAATGTAAAAGCTTGCTTAAACTTGATATAATAAATGATATCATCATGGAAATATATGAAATCACATTTGAAGATTTTAATGTACAGGTCTTGAACTACCCTCAATGTTTAAAGGGATTAGTCATGATGCTTTGCAAAAGCTTATTCTTAACAAGATTCATTATTTATGTTCCCCTTCTTTTTTCATTTTCTCTTTTGTATAGACCAATTATCCCCTTTGCCCTTTATCTAAACTTGTTCAAAGGCTGAGTTACCTGCCCAAACTCAAAAGTCTGTTCAAGTTTTGAAAGAGTTTGGACAAAAATTTAAAACCTGTTAAACAAGTTTGAGCACAATTTTTAAGACGCTTAAATTTCTAATCAAGTCCTGGACAAAAAAAATAAAACCCAAACCTAGACTGATCCGAATTCATATATATTTATATATAAACTTTTATTTTTATATATATGAATTATATATAAATTAAAAATAAAAATTATATACTATTAAATTTAATTTTTAATTTAAATTTATATATATTTTAATTTTTATATATATGCGAATTGATATGATCCCATTAAATTTAATTTAATCATTTTTTAATTTTTATTATATTAATTAAGTTTAATTGGTGGACTTGAAATCTATTTTTTTAATTTGAGTGAAGTTTTGAAAAATTTTGAAACTCCAAATATTAAATTGGGTTTTCGTAAACATATAAACTATTAGTATTAAGTATGTAATCGGCTCAAACCAATTTTTTTGTTAAAAAACTTACACTAGTTTATGCCTAATTTTTTTTCTATTTTTTTTATTTAGTGACACAAAGATAATTGGATATATATATACACACACATATTTGAAAACATGTATGAAAGTGAAATAATTTAAAATTTTAATAAAAATTTTATATGAATTTGATAAAAATTAATATATATTTTGCATTTAATATATATATGATAATTATAAATATGATATAAAAAATATGAAAAAATATATAAAAGCAAAATGATTTAAAATTTTAATAAAAATTTTATACAAATTTAACAAAAAGTTAAAAAATATAATATAATAATTTTTATATTTTATACACATTAAAATATAAAATAGACATATAGGAATATAAAAATTATGACATCTAATTGGGCGCCAACAGTTGTAATTCTGTGCAAAAAAGATGTGGTGAAAGTCAGATATTGCTGACAAGGAAAGAGAAAGCGGTTCTAGAAGACTAGAACACAAATCATCCGCCATAGCTTGACCAACGGTGGGTGGGTCATATCTTATTTTTTTCAATTCCCTTTTCTACCCTCCATGTTCTGTGAATTGACATCTACTTAAAATACAAGATTAGAAGATAATTTGGTTTTAATCATAAGATTACATAGGTAATTCCCTAAATATCTGTACGGATTTTCGTATCTAATAATAATAATATATTATTATTTAGACATTCAAACAATTTTCGAGTTAATGGCACATCTTTATCGATAGTTGAACTTTATTACATCTTAAATTTAGAAACTTCAAGTCAAATTTTCATTAAAAGAAAAAGGCATGGACTTAAGATTTATTGAATGATTAAAGTAACTTGATAATAAATTTTACAAATGTAAATACAAATATTTTGCTTAATATCAAACTAAATTTATAAATATATATATATATATATTTCAGAGTACAATGTAGTTTTAAAAGGATTTGAAGTACTTTAATTCATGATTTTTTAAAAAATCTAATTTATTGTCAATATTGATAAAAAATTTATTATTATTTAAAATTTTATATTACACAAACAAAATTAATAAAATAACACATACAAAGTATATAAAGCCGTAAGTCTTTTTGTGATCACTCTGACCATTAAGTTCATTTACTTGATCCAATAATTAGTTGCAAATTTAATTATAACTTGAAGATTTTTTTTTGTTTAATTTTGTAATTTTGGAATAGATATGATAATTTGTATATTTATATCATATATAATATTAATAATTTATGTATTATATTATATTTTACATAAAAATTACTTGTTATAATTTGTGTCGATACAAATATATGAAATATATTTTTTATTTTATTAAATTTATATATAATTTTTAATAAAATTTTAAACTATTTTATTTTCATATTTTTATTTATTATTATTTTTATATTATGTCATCATATCATATTTTAAATTATTAATTTTACTTTGAAGCTGACTTTTACTTCAATTTTTAAGAAAAAAGCATTATATGAAATAATTACTTCACGTGAGAATATATTCATTTTATACAAATTATACCATATAATTACATTATTAAAAAATCAGCTATTTATTGTTACACATCTCATGTAATAATTAAATGATAAATATTTATTTTAATAAATTTATATATGTGATATATAATAAATAATTAATTTTTTAATATAATTACATAAAATATTTTACATAAAAAAATATGTTGAACCAAAATAATTATTTCATTCAATATTTTTCACAAAAGGAAAAATAAAAACAAGGAATTGGGTTTTCGGATCACTCCATATTTTACACACGGCAAGTCGGACAAGTATCTTATGAAATAAACTGTAGTTATATATATGAATTTCAACTAATGGCGCAACAAATTAAATAAAAATAAAATAAAAATCGATTCAAATAAGACCAAACACGGGAGGTGCCGTCTACTCCCAGGTAAACATTATCAAACATTAAAAAAATCAAATAAGACCAAACAACTTAATACTCATTTTTTCTTATAAATACTATTTTGATTTGACTTTTTTGGGTCAATTTTTTAATTTTGATGCTATTTTATTTTAAATATTTTATGAGTAAAATATTAAAAAAATGCTTTCTAGAAACCTTGAATAAAGAGGCTTTCAAACATATTTTTATAAAATTTAATGTAACAAAATATTTAAAATATTAATGGTTAAAATTAAAAAATTTTTGTTACAAAAAGATTAATTCAAACATTATTTATGAAATGGAAGGAATATTATTTAAAAAATAAAACTCCTAACTTGAATGAGAATGGATGGAATAGACTAAAAAAAGGTATAAAAAAAAAAAAAAAACCTATACGCCTGTAATTTCTACATAAAGTATATTAAACAGTAGAAAGAACATATAGTTGTGAACCTACACCAATTTGTTGAAGTGAGTTTGGATCTTAATTACTTAATGTAAAATATAAATTAAAAAATATGAATACCTGATTCAAAAGTAATTTAGGAATAATACTTAATTAGTACTATTTGAATTGTCAAACCTGTATAAAAAAATAAAGTAAAAATTTTAATGATAATTCATGTTATTATTTGAATTTCTAATGTCAATCAAGAAAAAAAAAACATTTTTAACTTAGAGATTCTTCCTTTACACGCAAAAAATATATATATATATTAAATGTTTATTATATGATAAAAATAAGATAATTGCAATTAAATCAGTTTTTGCTAAATTTAAACTTAAAATTACACCAATAATAATGAAACATGAGAAATAAAATTTGTCTAAACAAAAACAAAAAAATTTTAAATTAGATATATTAATTATAAGACACGGGTCTTAAGACTATCCGAATATTAAGAAATTAAGCTATTTGCCTCAAAATTTACGTTCTTTACAAAAAACAAAATATTTATTTATGTATAGATATATTAAATAAGATAAGAATATTTAATTTTTTAAAAATAAAAATCATGTTCTTATAATTTTGATGAAATAATATCACTTATAGTCATATTTGATAAATAAAATTATCGATAAAATAAGATAATAATTATCATATATTATGTTTGATTTATATTTAAAAATAAAAATAAAAATTATAAGAAAAATTAATATTCTTTTGGTATAAAATTATTCAATTTTCTTCAAGTAGAAAGAATTATTTTTAATTTATAATATTAAACTTATATGTATAATTATACTTTTAAAAATTAAATAAATAATTTAAATTGTATAAATTTTAAAAAAGGATAAGTTTAACAAATAAATAAATTATCTTATCCTAATTCTTACATATATCAAATATAAAATAAAATAATATTATTTAATCTAATCTTATTTATAATATTATCTTATCTTATCATATCTTATATATCACACATGACCTATAATTATTATATTATTCTATTTAATCATAATTTAGAGTTATATATAGTGATAAATTTCTAAATAATTATTTATTCAACAGATTAATAGCAAAATTATAATAAATAAAAAAATTATAAGTAAAATGTTTATAATTTTTATACATAAGAAAATGATAAACAAATGGAAGGTAAAAACATATTCTGAAAGAAAGAAAGTTTAGGAAGGAAGGAAGAGAGAGAAAATGAAAAAAAAAAAAAAAAGAAAAGTAGTTGCTACGTTTTGAATTTTTGTTAAAAAACTTGGAAAAGGCATGTTTGGATAAATGAAGGACGGAAAATTCAAAGTTGCAAACTTTTACTCTGCTTCAAAACACAATCAACAGATCTTCGACCAGCCGCGGAACAGACCGACGACCGAGCGTCCGTGCTACCGAGGAGCTCGTCTCGGCTGTTGCTTCTCCTCCTACGCCTTTGGAACCGGAACTTGGTAACTGTTAACAACAAAGACAAAGAGAAAGACAGGTGACAGTTTATATTCCTCTCTCTATTACCCTTGATTCTGAAAAGCAATAATTGGCTTAAATCATAGGAAATATGAAGGTATTAGGGTTTTTAGGCTGAATTTTGATTCTTGCTAAGCTACATAGATGGTTTTCATGTAATAGAATTAGAATTAGGGCTTCCACTTTTTATTCAAAAATAAATTGGAGTTAGATATGCTGATTATGACTGGTATATTATTTGTTTACCTGTTAATTAATTCTGAAATCATATTTCCATCTTCCACCGAAAGGACAATGAACGAGTTGAGCTCAATTTTTTTTTTTTTTTGAGTCAGAGCCTGAATTGCTCACTGGTAGCTTGACTCATTTAAACCCCTAGTTTTCCTTTTTATCTTTTCTTTTGCGGCATTAAATATTCTATTTTGAGATAATGTTAGTTTTATGAGTTGTAACAGATTAATTATCAATAACTGAAATATGATTCTTCTGTTTCTAATGTTGTTTGGCAATCATTCAATCGGCTATAGGCAGTTTGAGTAGTTTCATGTGTAATTTGCTAAATGTCTACTTTTCTGTTTTAGATGTCGAACTCATCTAAGGACCTGGAAAGACAGGGCCCCAACTCTGGGCATCATCTGAGGGAAGACAGTGAATATGATAGGCTGGTTACTTCTAATGAACCCGCTGCTGCTGGAATGGACATCTTACAACCTCAACCACCCCCAAGGAGTAACACTTTCATCTGGTGGATCAAAGCTGTCGTCTTCTGCATTTTTTCTGTTATATTGCTTCTCATTTTCTTGAAATGGGGAATGCCATTTCTTTTTGAGAAGGTACCTGCTGCCCATAACTGTCTTCTCTCTTTCTCTCTACTTTCTCTTTAACTTTAGTTTACGCATTATGTCCCAATTGTGCATGTATGTAATTTTCTTTAGTTGTTTGGCTAATTGCTGCAAAAAGAAAAGAAAAGGACTATGTAGTTATTTTCTCTATGGCATCTTGTTGAATGACTTTACCATTTGCACACCGAAATTTTAGCATTTGAAGAATTTTCAATTTAACTATAGGTTCTTTTTCCAATCATGCAATGGGAAGCAACTGCCTTTGGCCGCCCAGTTCTTGCTGCTGTGCTTGTTACTTCTCTTGCCTTGTTTCCTGTGTTCTTAATACCTTCTGGTCCTTCCATGTGGTTGGCTGGGATGATTTTTGGATATGGTCTTGGGTTTGTCATAATTATGGTCGGAACAACTATTGGAATGGTCCTACCCTATTTGATTGGACTGCTTTTTCGTGACCATATCCATGTAAGACTTCTACTTGTTTTCAGCTGATGTTGACTGGTTAATCAGGAATCTTGAGTTTCTTTCCTGCTGTCTCCGATCTTTTTCTTTATTTTTCTTTCCTGCTGTCTCCGATCTTTTTCTTTATTTTGATGTGCAGCAATGGTTAAAGAAATGGCCCCAGACAGCTGCTGTGGTTCGACTTGCAGGAGAAGGAAGCTGGTTGCATCAATTTAGAGTGGTTGCTCTCTTTAGAGTTTCGCCATTTCCTTACACAATTTTCAACTATGCAATTGTGGTAACCAGCATGAGGTTTTGGCCATATTTATGTGGATCGATTGCTGGAATGATTCCAGAAGCTTTTATTTATATCTACAGGTATGCAATGTGAACAAATCATTTTAATTTTACAGTACCCTGGTCCGAAGAAATATTTTCTAGGTTTAAGCTTTGTTAGGAGTCCCTTAAGTTTATTTATTAATTTGTGCAATGAGTCTAATATAGTTATGAGAAATTATCAAATACACTGACAGTGGAGTTTTTTAACTCTACAAGCAGAATTAAGTTGGTGACACATGTCCCTTATATATTTAAAAAAATTCATTTAAAAAAGAAGTAGTACATTTGTTATGATCTGAACCCTGCTTGTGGAGTTAAAAAACTCCACTGTCGGTATATCAAATAATTTCTCTATAGTTATTGTCCTTGTACCTCCAAATGAGGTCTAATATAGTGTCTGGGCTTGCAGTTTTGTCAATCAAGTGAATGCAAACCTTGTTCCTTGTGTGGTGCTAAGTTAAGCTGATGGTATCCTATATAATAATTTGCTAATGCAGCTAAAAGTGCCACATCGATGCTAATTACGGTAGTACATTGCGTCTTTGAAAACCTACCCTCTAAAACTGCCTGTTCTGGCTCTGCCACCCTATACCACCCATAATGTCACAACAGCCAGATTCCATCAAGCAGAACCCAAAATAAGTCGAACACCATCAAGCACAGTGCAAAACTGCCACTTCCCCACCTCCTTGCTACCTTAAGAAAGTGACTTTTGTTAAATCCCTGGCACTTTAGTGCTGTTGTAAAGCCAAAATAATAATAATAATAATAATAATAATAATCACCAATCCTCTCCAAGACCCTGTAGCAATCAGCTTCAGAAATTGTTAATGCCAATTCAACTGCAAGCCCCATATCTCATAACTATCTGCAGTGCAAATTAGAAGTTCAGAAATGGAGAGAGAGTTGAAGAAAAGAAATGAGGGTTACACTTGAGTCTAAATCAAAGTGAACACAATGAAAACTTAGGAATAAGGAAAAGATGAGAGGACAAGAACGGAGGGTAAAGAGTTGTTCAGAGCAAGCAACTGCATTAAGGGAGAGAATAAAAGAAGAAAGGAGAGATCACCTTTGCTGGCAGTTGGGGGATGGTTTTGAAGGCAAATGGCAAGGAGGTTGAGGATGGGTTGCTCAATGTTCTTAAAAAGGAGACGAGAAAAGATGAGAAAAGAGGAAAGAAGAAAATGCCAATGGCCAAAACATTGCAATTCTTAGACAAATACGTGATGCATTTAAGTTTTTGGCCACGTTACTTATGCTGCCATGTCATCTGACCCTAGCAGTATGTAATGAAGTCATTCTTGATTGTGTCAGTGATCAGTTTTGCAAGTCCAAGGATTACAGAAGAAGACCGTCTAATTTAGGGAACTATTTTAAAATTCAGGCTTCAACCAGATTGAAACTAATTGTCTACTGTTCAGGTGACATAAACAGTCAAGATTTTATGCAACTCTCTTGAAGTATGAAGTTTTTCAGCTTTAATATGATTTTATATGCTGCTGGTGGATTCTGTTACTAATTACTTATGTCTTTGTGCAGTGGTCGGTTGATAAGAACATTCGCTGATGTTAAATATGGCAACCATCACTTGACTGCGGTGGAAATTATATACAATATCGTCTCCCTAATCATAGCAATTGTTACCACAATTGCTTTTACAGTTTACGCAAAGAGAGCTTTAAACAATCTTGGTAATGGAAAGATCGAGGGAGAAGATGAGTCTGCCTCATATCCAGGTGGCATTGAGATGGAGAAGCAGGTGGGTGTCATGTCTTTTTCATCATAGCTTGGATACTTTTAGGAATGTGTATTAGATGGGATTTAGGATTCACATAGAAGTATATATGATCCTCTCTCTTTCTCTTCATTTTCTTTAGAGACTGGGTTTTTGTTGTTCGTCTTTGTATGTAGAAAAATTGACAGGGGAAAAATATACCATACGAAATGTCACATGTTTATGAAACACATATACGCTATTTGCTTTGCTGCTTTTTTGCATTGTCCTTGTTATGATTTCGGAGTGCTCCAAATTTCTTTATACTTGAGATTGTCATGATTTAAATTCTAATTATTGAATTAAGAGTCAAATATTTTATCAATAGGTCATATAATTGTTAACATAATCACAAATATTCCATCAGTCATCCAATTAAAAAAAAAAAAAATTGAAGACACTACAACTACAATTTGGTGCAAAATATATATGTTCATTGGGAAAATATTATTTGCACATAGCTGCAGACCCTCGTGTTCACCCTAAGCATGATTAGGGGTAAATTTTTCGTATTAATACTCTTTGCCAAGCTTAGGTCGACATAAGGTGTGTACAAGGGGTGTGCAAATAACAGATTTTTTTTTTCTTTTGGAATAAGATTCATAATGACCGCATTATTTGATTAGTGGATTAAATTTACCGCTATATAATTTTTAACAGCTGCAAATTTACTATTTTACTTTCTAATTTGGCCAAAAAAAAATCAAAACCCAGTTATTTTTTTTTCATTAAATATTCCTTAATTTTCGACTTTTGGTTGGAGTACATGAACAAAGTTAAGTTGAACTTAACTGATACTTTTAAGACTCAAGTTTGAGTTCGTTTGACTAGTTAAGTTTATTATTGAAATATTAAAAATGTTTTTATGTTTTAACATATATTTTAACTTTAAAATTTAATTAAAATATAATATTAATTAATATAAAACTTTTTAGATCAAGCTCATATCTAAAAATTCATATTCAAGGCTCACAAAATAAACCCAAGCCAATAAATGAGCTTGATTAGTAACTCGTTCTATGTACATCTTCAGTTTGATTTTTTTAATGTATAATGATAAAATTGCACCTCTCTAAATGAGTGATAAATTTGAAATTATCTTTTTCCTTCCACTAACATTTTGAGTTTATTGCTATATTATTTTAATGGTCAACTAAATAACAAAAAATAGAGGTGACAATTGACATATATATAAATATATATATATATATATATATGTATATACACACACAAGAAAAAACCTACTTATACGAGAAAGAACCTACTTATATTTTAAATTTTTGAATCAAAATTATTAAATTTAAAAATATTATTTTGATTTAAAGATCCAAAAAATATAAGAGTTACATCTTTCCTATATATATAATAAAAAAAAAGAGACAAAATAAATCTTAATCTAAAAACTCGTCCAAAAATATATATATATATAGGATTCGAGTCACTTCAAATTGAAAAAGAAAAGAAAGACATGAACCTAAAGAAATAAGAATCTAAAACAATTTGAATCTAAAATAATTTAAATTAAAAACAATTAAATTCAAAAAATTTTAAAATGATCCAAAAATGTGTGGTTCAAATCCGAAATAACATGAACCCAAGATGACATGAAACAAAGTAAATCTGACATGAACTATTATTATGATATTTATAACTGTTTCAACTAATGACATTTTTTCTACAAAATTTAGTACATGGTATTCACTTATTTACACTACCTTTTATATATATATACATTAAGAGAAAGAGAAAGAGTATAATTACAATGTATTTGGCATGTAATATTATAAATAAGATAAGATAAAATAAGATTATAAATAAAATTAAATAATTTAATGTCATCATATATTATAATATATTTGATGTCCTCAAGCATTAAGAGTAAACGTAGGATGTTTTTTCTATAGTGTAATTGATTAAAATCATTCTTTTTTAAAGTTAAAATAACTATGATTTGAATTTATAATTTTTTTATTTTAAATATAATGCAATTTCTTAACAATAAAATATTATTTAAATTTATAATAATTTTTGTGGTTAATAACTAAATTCATTCTTTTTCAAAAATAAATAATTGATTTTAAAAATAAATTGATTTTTCTAAAATATACTTTCTTATTTTTTCTTATTCTTTTCTTTTTTGTTTTTTACTTTCATTCTTTTATTAGCTGACAAAGGCTAGCTATCAATCCATGAGGGTCAAATTTGGCCTTGTTGATATCCCGTAGTTGCTGAAGCTACCAAATGGCATGGGAAAGCAAGAGACCTCAATGTGCTTGATCTATTATAAGGGCCAAATCTTGCGGTTCTTGGTGTTAGAAGCACTAGTTTGACCCCTCATCAATTGGAAAATGGCTCCCTTCTTTATGTCATCATGATATTTGGCCGACGGTAGTAAGGGAAGGAAAAGGAAAAAAGGAAGAAAAATAGAAAACGAGAAAAAAAATAACATTTTGATCAAACCAATCATTACTTGCACTTGTCATCTTATTGGTTTATATCCATTTATGAATGTAATTTTTAAAGTTATAATAAAAATATAAATTTAATATCATAGATTAAAAATAATCATCTTTATTATGAAAAAAGTGAATCATCTTATTAAAAGGATTATTAATTCTCCTTCGTAATCTAATTTTTTTTAAATGCATATTAAACATGAGATAAAATGATAATCATTTTATGTACCAAATGTACCCTCATAATATTAGTTTATAATATTAATATAGTATTGCCATGTATCTTTCTTAAGTTACCATTTTAAAATAATTTATATATATAATATTTGCATGTATCTTTATTTTGGAATTTGGTAAACTTTAAAATAGAATATATAAAATGTAAATTTAGTAGTAGTAGTAAGGAAACAAGGGCTAATGGTATGGTAGTACAAAAAAAGTAGTCATTTTTATATTTGAGATCAATTATTCAAAATGATATTGAAATAAAAAAAAGATGTAAATCATATAATTCAAGTAAGATGAGTGAGGTAGTGTAGTAGTTAAGTGTATTGTATGATTGCAATGTATTTTTAAAATTAAAGATAAAATTATATAAAATAACTGTAAGACCTGCATTATTATATAAGATTGAATATTAGATTGTTAAGAAACAAGATAAAAAGAAAATGAGTATAGTTGAGATGAAAATGCTTAAATTGAGTGTGATAAGATTAGAAGAGACAAAATCAAAAATAAAAATATTTGAGAAAAATTCAAAAAATTGAGAAATGATCATTTTAGATGGTTTAGACATATGAAATGTAGACATAATTGTAAATCAGTTAAGAAAAATGAGTCTTTAGATTTGAGAGTAGCCAAAACTTTTAAGATAAAACATGAAAAATGTGAATGTAAATAATAAGAAATTATATTAAGCGCATGTCGCCTATAACATTTTTGAAATTCTATTAATAGAGGGTTATATTTTTAATTTTTTTATTATTTATATTTTGTTAGTTTATTTTAATTAAAAGGTGAAATGATTATTTTATAATGGTGAATAGATGTCAAATATAACATTTTTGGGAATTCTTTTAATTTATTTTTAATTTTTAATTATTTTATTTTAATTAAAGAATAAAATAATTATTTTATAATATTAAAAAAATAAAATAATTATTTTATAATGCTGGACAAGTATCACGATGTAATTCCGTTGAGACTCTTCCAATAAAGAGTTACGGATAAGCAAAAGGTAAAACTTAACATTCAACTATAAAAAAAATTTCATATTTTTGCTATAATAAATTTTTAACAAAAGAATAAGAGCAAACAAATCATAAATTTATACGTGACTCTATTTATTTATGGCATCAACAAATTCAAAATAAAAAACTATTAAATAATGAGTTAGAATCATACTAACATTATTATTTAAGTGTAGTTATATATATATATATAAAATAATTGCATATTAAAGTCATATTATAATTAAATGATTAATATAGGTTTTATATGATTACTAGATGACAGCCTGTATTTTGCTACAAAAATTGTTAGAGAATTTAAAAATACATATATATATATATAATCTAATGTTAAATATAATATTGAATATTAGAAAGTTAGGTAATGATAAATACATAATGCAATATTAAGAGTTTAAATATAGAAAATTAATGATAAAAGAAGTCCAAATGTAATTAGAATTTAAAGATTACCATCAGAATAATTGATGATCAGTAATGAGACAAATGCTTGACTCTTGTTGGGACCTTTCCTTCAATGAGTTTTCTCCAAGTTAACAATTGTGTCCATGAAAAATACATAAAGTTGTCCTTGAAGTTTTTTCATCAAATACATGCAAACATAAAATGAAGTATAGCAATCAAATTTTACTTGTCTACAGCACATCTTTAATGTATTGACATTCCTAAAAACTATTTTAGCTCCAATCATATTTTCCAAAAGAATCACACAGCTCAGCTCTAATGATCACTTTTTAAAGTAACATGCCAGGGATATTACAAGACAATGCCAACTCAAATGCCCAAGTGAGTCTATTTCTTGTGAAACATGTAACTTTAAAATTTAGAAATGAGAGCCAACCCGATTTGCATTTGGATGTGAAGATTTCAATCGCCCAACTGGACTCTGTAATCTTTTATTTGTTGGGCTCTGCACCAACAGATTAAAAAAAGCCACTATAATATAATGATAGATGAAATAGGAAATGCCTTCATATCGATGATCAATGAACTTTTTTTAGAACAAAAAAAAAAAAACATATTAGCTTAGTAGACTAACAGCACTGAGAACTTTAGTACCTTTGCTAGTTTCCATGAGCTCCAATTGTTTTCAGATATTCTCCGTTCATCTTTCCATCTTCTTCTGGACATGCTACAACAACGGAAAAATGCTTCCTCACAGTCATGTTCGTAGTCATTCAAGATTTCTAGGAAATTAGCACACTCGTCAAAAGCACCAGATTCTACGTATCTAAAATCTTCTTCCACATTTATTGTCTCATAATTTCCATTAACATGTACCACGAAAAAGATTATCAGCATTCTAATTTGGTAAAAATTGCAGAAAGTCAGCCTGGCATTTCTTCTTTAAAAACGCTATAATAGACCAGTACCAAGAAGAAGACTATAGCAATCTAATTTGGCAAAATCGCAAAAAGTCAACCTGTACAAAAAATGGCGTTTCCTCCTTAAAAACGCCATAATATAAACATTTCAAGTCTTTTTATAACCCAATTTCGACCTATATTTAAGAGAAAGCCATAATCGCTAGATTCATGGAACGTATGTAAATCCAAAAAAAAAAAACAAACAAAGAACCAATTACAGCATTTTGTTAAACAAAAATATCATAATTGACTGAAAATAAAATTTAATTTAGTTTCAAATTTATTTTTCAAAATGGTAATATAAATAGGATAATTATTTTATTTAAGTCAAATTTGAAACTTAAGTAATTTTTCATCCAAAATCTTAAAATATCACAGGAAGAAGGTTCTTTCTTATTTCGAGGTTTTAAATACTATTAAAAATTTGATATTTTTCTCAAGAATCGAGTAACCCTAAATTAAATGTGAAAATTAAATACCCACAATTAAAATTCTCGAAAAATTTTTTTGGATTCCTTTAAACCAAATGCCCCTGAATGGTCAAATAACTTTAAAAATACAATATAATGACTTAATTAATATAAAAATTCCTTCCACAATTAACTTGAAATCAAAATTAAAGTCCCATATGATTTGGTTAAAAATTGAGCGAAATTTTTAAATTGAGATAACTTTTATATATTGTTATTGATATTAAATATATATTGTTATTTATATTAAATATGTAATTAGATATTATAATAAAAGTTTAAAATAATTTTTATATATTTATATTAAATTAAAATAAATCTAAAAAGCATGTTAAATGTGTCAAACATATTTCATGTTTTCATACGCTAGTCTTATATCATGATTTATTTAAATGTGTTTTTTATGTTTTACATGTATTAAATGTGTCAAATACATGTCAGACACCAATAGTGTCATATCAAAATTCATTTTGACACAACTAAATATAAAATATGCTTTTTTAAAATTCATATATATTTTTTATATAATTTTTGTATTGTATCATTGTGTCATATTTAAAATTAACAGATATATACTTTACCAAAAATTTGTCAAATACTATTTTGAATGAATGGTAAATCCAATCCATATTTGTGGGTTAATGAGATTTAATTCAAAGTCTTCAATTTAAGCATATTTAAATTTTATTAATATTCGTAACTTATGAACAATTTTATAAATCATGTATCATAAGATATTGTAAAATCTCATAAAATATCACAATTCAATTTGTAATTATTTCTTCATCAATGAAAAAAATATACTTGTAAGAACATTTTAACTAACTCTATGTCTAACATCAGAAGTAGAATTAATCCAGGAATTCTACTACTTATTCCAAGAATATTAATTGGTTTCACTAATTTGATTGTGGGTTCTTTGCATGATTAACTCGTAGAGAAGTGAATATGTAATATGTTAATGACCAACATAGCAATCCACCTTCAAAATACGGAAGCAGCTTTAGTATCCTCTCCATTTTTTTTCCCGAGTCTCATAAAAAAGTGCAGGGAAGAATCCAAATAAGGAATTAGGGTATTTATGAATATCCTTAAATTTAAAAAAAAAAATTTCAAGAAAAAATTTTCACGTCTCCAAAAATTTGTTTCAGACACTTTTCTTCTATAAATTGATAAATTCATTCCAACTTTTGAGATATATATATATATATATATATATTATATAAATGAATACCTTCAAAAAATTTCTAAATCCGTACATTAAAAAAGTGCCACAACTTAAAAATCATTATTAGCCAGCAGTGATCCATGATTAATAGCTAGTTATTATTATCTATCCATGCTATATTTTTATTTATTTTGACCACACCAAGACTTGTCACATGTAAACCTAGTAATTTGTGTTATTGTATTATATTTTGTGTTAAAAATTATTTTAGAAATGACACAAATAATTTTGACATGAACCTAATACGAATATATAAATAATATAAATAATTTAAACACGAACATAATACATTTATTATTCGTATTATATGTGACATGATACAATCAATACATTTAAAATTAATTTATACGGAATTAATATGACATAACACTACATAATAAACATAATTATATATAAATAATATGATTAGACATAATTAATTACTTAAATAATATGACATGACAGGCACGATTAACATAATTATATTCAAATAACATGATTAAACATGATCAATTCATTTATTTAAATAAAAATATCACTTAAATTAGTATTTAAACAAAAATTATTTAAAAATTAAAAATTTATAATCTATTTAAACACCAAAATGATATAACAAATACTATTATTAATTTTTTAAATAAATTAAAATTTTTGTATGTTATGAATAGTATCATGTCTTAAACGTATCATTATTATTTAACATAAATACGATACAAATAATGTGGTGTCTTAACTATGTTGACACAATTAAAACAAAAAATACGATTACACTAAACCCATACACGATTTTTTTCATGTCATTTTAGTATCGTGTTATTATGTCATATTTAAAATTACCAGATCTAACCACCTATCATCTTTTTCTTTTTCTTTTTCTTTTCTTTTTCCTTTCTTCATTTTTTCCTTTCTTTCTCTTTTATCTTCTTTATCTTTTGTATATTCTCTATTTTTAAAAAATAATCTATTTTTTTTATTTTTTTAAACTTTTAGACGAGGTACATTTGATATTGTTGACTAAAAAATTTTTTAAAATTTTTTTAGTTCTTTATTTTTTGTTTTTTATTAGGTATTTTTGTAAGAAAAAAGATAACAAATGTGTTCACATGACATTCAAATTTGGCTTATTTTTAGGTTTTTTTTAGCTTTAGTTTTTTTTTGCTTTTTTAGTTTTTTTAAATTTATATATTAAATTTTGTAAGAAAATTATGTCAATGGAAGTGTCCATGTTCTACCTTCATTTTGCTTTTTCTTTTTTTCTTTTTTGCCTTCTTTTTGTTATTTTGTTATTTTTTTAAATTAACTAAACTTTGTAAGAAAAAGTATTAATGGAGGTTAGATGATAAAATAATATATTTTCAACAAATTTCGATTTGCTACAATCTAATAGGGATTTTTTTTAATCGAGATTCGATCAAGGCAAGTGAGTTTTTCTTTTTGCAAATCATGGTTGGATTAAAGAGGGTTTAGAGTATTTTACTCTGGGTTAAGTTGAGTCAAATGCATGTTACACACACACACACAAACATATATATATATATATATATATGTTGGGCCAAAGTATAAAAAAATTTAATGTCAACTCGACTCGGAGTTAGATAGAATTATTAAAAAGTCAGGTTAATCTTGAAATGAACTTAAATCTACGTTAGCTTAATCCCGTTACATCTCTAAATTGTGGCGTCCACGTTATATTTCTATTTGATTTCATTTTTTTTTGTTCTTCCTTATATATGTATTTTTTTTAATTTTTAATTAGATAAATTTTATAAAAAAATGATCATTGGAGCTAACAATGCAAAAAAAAAAAAAGTGTTCGACGGGTTTCAACCTGTCCTTATCCAAAACGAGCAATTTTTCTTTTTAAAATCAATATCAGGTTAGGGCCAAGATGATTTTCCTTTTTAAATTGAGTCAGGTCATATACGAATTTTGATTTTATGGCACAACTATCCTTGAAATATATAAAAAAATATATTTTTATTATTTATTTATTTTATATTTACATATGTATTATATTAATAAAATTAAATAAAAATATTATATTTATATATAATTTAAATATAATTTATATTAAAATAATATTTCTATAAATATTATACTAAATTAAAATTATTGAATTCATTTAAGGTCGAATTAAATTAGATATGATTATACATATATATTGATTGAAATCAAATATAAAAATTACAACACGATATTAGGTTTGATCAAGTTGGAGTCAAGGTGAAAAAATCAATTTTGACTCGACCTATAATCATCCTTAGTAAAAATGTTTAAATGGCATCCTAATTTAGTTCTCTTTCTTTTTTTTTTTATTTTTTTCCTTGGACCTTTTTCTTTTTTTAAGTTTTATTATTTTTTAAATTATTTATTTTACTATTTTTAACTATATTTGAAGAGATAAATTTTAAAAAATATATTTGAATAATTTGTTATATAAAGAATGGGAATAAAATGCACATATTATATACAAATTAATTAATAAATTTTTTTATCATTTATTTTTATTAAAAATATTAAAATATTATTATTATAAAAAAAAAAATTTAACCCGCACAACGGGTCTGTTTCTAATTATTATTACATTTGAGCTAGCTTGGTCAAGGATAAAGATTTCATTTTGGTGAGGAAAGGAAAGAAAAGGAAGGAAACGCAGTACTTGCTGCGAGTGACTTAAGTTGATGGTTCATGGGATTGGTGTAGTACATACGACAGCTCCATCATTGATTTTCTGGTTTCTCCCGCGGTACTTATCGTCTCTTGTTCTCCGATTTGTATGCTTTGATATGGTTCTTTCACCATCCTATCAATTTGTCTTGCTTCTTGACCTCTTGTTCTGTCAAGCCAATAGCCCAAACGCTCTTGCACAAACTCATTAAAGAAGCCTTGCTTGAATTTGCTGCCCATCTTTGACACAAAAACCACCACAGTTAAGGCTTCAAATAAAGACCATAACAACTCAAAATTTTACGCGCATAAAGCATCAACCTGTGTGACGAGAGCATACAATGGCAAGGTGATGTAACTGCAGAGAACTTGAACCATTACACTGCAAAAGCAAACCAAAAAAAAAAAAAAATCAAAATTTGTAAAACATGTAATGATGGACATTGAGATCATGTAAATATGCATCAGACGACGAATATTACCCCATTATAAGTCTAGGGATGATATAGCCCATTCGTTCCATGATGCATGATTTGAACCCGTATGTGCACTTTACAAAACAAACTTGTTTGAGTAAGTGAAATGGCCAACAAGTAATTTTTTTTTTTTTTTAAAGAAGGATGGCTTAATTAGGGATTATATCGGTTCAAATTAAACTAGAATCAGTTTAGTTTTTTTAATAATAGATAATATTATAAATTTTTAAAATTTAATTTGAATTTGTACTAACTTTTTTTTAAAATTAATTTGATTCAAACCAAATTTTAGCTGTTTTATTTGATTTATTAGTTCTTGAAATTTTTAATTTTTTAAAACCGAGCTGAATAAAAAAACGATTCATATGAATACTATGATTTTTAATCAATCTTTTAATTTTTTTTTTTAAAAAATTTTTCGCACCCCTGAGTTTAATTATCTATTTGCGACGTTGGCTGGCATACCAAGATCCAGAAGAAGAAAGCAATCTCAAATGCATTTTGAAACAGAATAAAGTGAATCAAGTGAAGAACGATGCCAGGGTTCTTAAGCCAAAAGTGTTCATCGGAAGGTCTAACTCGTGCTGCTTCGCCTCGTTCCTTCATCTCACCCATATCCTGAGCTAAGAGAATAATTATGTGCTCTAACTTGGCGCCCACAAGAAGTAGAAGCTGTAAAACTCGATCCGTTTAATTCATCCATTAATGTTATCTGAATCTCAATAATATTCTTAAATCACTAAATATAGCTAATCCACTTACAACAACAGGGAGAAACGATAACCAAAAATACGTATGCCATCCTGCATGGAAATACATGACATATATATGAAATATTTAGAAATCCCATTAGAGAAATTATGCAAAACCAAAAAAGCAATTGCATTTAGACTTGACAATTCATGTATCTGTGTTGTGTAAAACATTGGTAATTCATATATTTGTTTCGTATTTTACTTGAAAATTAAGTGTTAACTGGTAAACACATTAAAATATATATTTTTTATTTATTAAATCCGTATATAATTTTTGTTAAAATTTTAAATCATATCCCATTTATATATTTTTCATATCATTTTCATATCGTGTCATGAATTGCCGAGTCTAATTGCATCATTCGTATTGAAAGAAAATTACCTTCTACATTCAATAGCAAAAACACCACCACAAATAGCCACAAGTACCAGCTATACGTAAATGACACAGGATGGATATTAGTGGGGAATATTTATCTTAAAATCAAACAGACAGATGCTAAATCTAAAAGCTTTCCATGATTTTAAGAATGAATAATAGTAATTACCTTATGCCAACAACCTTTTTGAAGTCCAGTTCAAGTGTACGCATCATGTAATTGTGAAAATCAAATTCGCGGTTGGCTGGGCAATGTGTCTAGACGGAGTGGAAAAGAGGTAGTTGGTAAAATCATTTTGGAAAAACTAATTTTTCAAAGAGTTAATGTGGTGAATGGCCTTTACACTATAGTGAAATATTTAATGTAATATCTAAATTTTAAAAATCTCTAATGTGATACTTGTATTATGAATATGGTAACTAATTCGTTACTTACTCCTAATGTGATTTATTTCAAATGATGACACGTGACAAACTGACAATCTACCAAATACCACTTTAATTGATAGATTCATAATTCAAATAATACGTTAGAGATTTTTAAAGTTTAAACATCACATTAAATATTTCACTATAACGACCATTCTTGATATTAATCATTTTGCAAATAATATGATTGATGATCATGATGGGGACTTTACCATGATAAACCCTTCTCGAAGTGCTATATAGTCGGACTTTGTTATAGAGCCATAAAACTGTTTGAAGAATGACATCTGCCAAAAACACAAAACAAATTGCCGTGACGTGAATAACAACGTCAAATATTTACATACATACATACATATATATATATATATATATATATAGACTTACAGTCCAGCTCACAACATCTGCCTTCCTCCAATATCCTTGTGCATGTGCAAAAAACGCATGGCGATGACGGGTATGGTCTTCTGTAGCGGAGAAGAAGATCATCATCAATTTCAACTCTCAACCTCGAGCACATAACCTTAGTTAGCATATGGTAATCCAAGATATATTAATTTGGAAATTTGATTTGATGTTTTACCTTTTTTGTCTTTAAAAGTCCTTTCCCAATGCTTCCATTGCCGTATCTACATGATAAATAAACCAAAATTAGGTCTCGTTGCATCTGTAACACTTATTGCTAACGAAAGTAGCAGTTATACTAAGGCAAAACATCTTTGGAAATGAATAATATACTTGTAGTGCAACAAATTTGAAAAGTTAGAAGTAGAAAACATCACCCTTGCTCCTCCAAGACCCATTGTAATGACGCAGAATATCACGTGAACAACTGCCAATACAAAGATGAAAATGTGGAGATGATGCAATGCTTCCAATGACATTAAGGGGACCTTCCCCTGAGATAAGAAGAAGAAATTCAGATTTAAGCATGATTTGGAGCCAAAGTCAAATCAATCCCTTCTGGAAAGGGTGAGCTTCATCTGGAGTTTCATTTGTGTATATTGCCATTAAAAGTAAGGAAAGCAAAGTCATTCCAATAATGTATATACAAGGGTAGACGTGAGGGCCAAAATTCCACAGGGTTTTTTTTGAAAATATGTTATGGTATGTATGTAGAGACTCGATTCACACTAGTGAAATATCTAATCATGAACCTTTTAGATGTGTGCAAGTCTAAATGGTTGGTATTTGAGCAATCGACAGACCGAGCCTCTCAAATATGATTTATATGTAAAGACTTCAACCCATATTTACCAAGTGCTTTTTTTTTCCTTCAAGTCAAATTAGACCTCATAAGTTCTGGGCACGAGCAAAGTGTTGAAAACCTAACAATTTTGAATCCATGATGCTATACCTCATGCGAACAATGCTCTGAGCTACTCTCTGTGGAAAAAAGGCGCCGTCTATTTTTTATAGCTTGAGGAGAATATTCTTCATGAGTTTTGCTTTCATTATTCCTCTTGCATGGAAGCATACTGGATACAACGTAAGGTGGGATGCACATTTGACTTACTAGACCTTGAAAGACAGTCAATAGAAGGGAAATGAATCCTAATAGCATCAGTTCTGTCAACAAACATCGGTAAAGAATTGGTTAGGAAAAACAGAAATAATGACTTGAGCTGCCAAACATTTCATTTTAGGGAATCTCAAGCATGCTAATGTAACAAGCATAGATAATGTTTAAAGAGAGAAAACGGAAGAAAGCAAACCATCTTTTAACTTTTGTAATGCTTCAAGAAGTGCGTCTTGTTTTTTATGCTTCAACCACTGGATTGCCAAACACAAAACAGTCGGAAGATTTTCTTAGACTGTGACCACTGACCATCATGTACATATAAAAACATCATTCAAGTAGTGCATCATGTACAGAAAAAAAAAAAAAAAGAAAAGAAAGGTCAATATGGTAAAGGAATTTCACAAAAATAAAGAAAAGAAATTTATTTGTGCATAGCAAGAGCAATATCTGCGGAATCATCTCAATGTCAATTGTCAACAGTTATGCACCACAATTGTAGAAAATTTTTGCAGATGGCATTCATGGTATATATCCTTGAAAGAATGCAAAATTATAAATTAGACACATGCAGTAAAACATGGAGGAGGACGATCAAATATTGTTTTGCATACCTTCCCAAGGCGATGAAGACCTCGTTCAACAATAAGAGATATGAAAACAATGAGAAAACAGACACCAGCAACCACCCAGGTTGGTGAATACTGCAGAGAGCTGGGCTCTTCTTCTGCTGCCATATCTTAATCTGATGTCAACGTGCCAAGGAAAGGAAAAGAAAAGAAAATTTCAGTTTCTTCAAAATTTCAGTTTCTTCCTTTCTTTCGTTCATGAATATGAATATATTATATACCTGAAAGAGGAAGACGTGAAGGTGACCAAAGAATAAGCATATACAAAGGTAAAGGAAAAGAATTTAACCAACGGCAAGTAAAATGGAATAAAACGAGTACCGTGCCAAGGAATCAGCCAAGTCACAAAAGAAAAGCACAAAAGTAGATAAATTGTCATTGTTGATAGGAATCACTTCAGCTGGACCTACCTCTCTCTCATGCTCTGTTCCTTATTCTTTGCAACACAGCCACACCAGATTCCGCTTCTAAGTACTAATCCAATCCCCCATTGCTGTTTATCAATTGTTATGGCTTTTCAGACTTTTACAGCAACATTTTTCACATCAAATGAATTATGTCATCATTACACACTTATTATTCAAGTTGAAGGATAAGGAACTTTACCAAACAAACTCTTGCGGCCCCTTTTGCTTATGTTTCCATTTAAAAAGCAAAAACCATGAAAGAAGAAAGGAATAAGGAATACACACTCTCAATTCAACGACACTTCTAGTCTAGTTTGTAAGAAATACTTAAAAAGAGAAAAGCACATAAATGTGAACAGCCAAGGCGAGATTAAACACAAATTTATTGTTAATCGATTTTGGAGTGTTTAAACTTATGTGTTTCAAAGAATACAATTTGGTATCATACATATGCATTACATATACCACGAAATCCAAACAGAATTCATATTCAAATTATCAAATTCTGAATGCTAGTCTGATTCTCCAATCTGAAAGCCAAACCACCATTAAGTTTTCCTGCAGGTTGTTCCGTCACTCATCTCCTGTCTTGCCCTTTGCATTACTTTCACTTTCAAGGTCATCAACGTATCAAAAACCACATCCAAAATCATCAGACTATAAGTCACGCAACATGGTGGAAACAGAAGAATGATCAAAAACATCTTTATGGCTTCCAAGGTGCTGGAGGCGGTGGGGGTGTGGGAAACATTGGTGGAACTGCAGAAAAAATGGTATTCTTGTCAATCCCAGTTGTCTTGTCACCAGATAATGCCACGAGTGCACCAACCAAACCCGCATTGCCTGCAAGAGTAGGCTCTGTGTAGTTGTAGTTGGTTCGAACATCATGAAATCCATCATGCTTATCAGGTCCCGCAACCATGGCTCCCACAAGTGTATTAGGGTTTGACTTTGATGTATCCCTCCATTTCCATCCCCCTTTACAGTTATATTTGATCTTATTCTTTGGGATAGATGCACCTCTATGGTGAACATGTGTTGGGTAATGGTTACCAAAACCCACAACATAACTCATTTTCCGAGGGTTTTTCCCAAGGATGTAATCAATCTGCCAAATTAACAGATGGAAAAACAAAATTATCAGCCACCCTGCCTTAGTATGATTCGGGATTAAGTGGTCTGAACCATGTCCCCTGGACTATGTTTTGAAAAAAAAAAAAAAAAACCAGATTACTACATACCTGGGTTTTGGCAAAGCCACGCAGGACATCAGTTGAATAGAAATTGGGACCACAATACCATCCAGGTGTATCAGCAGCATCAAGATAATCACTGTAGAGGGCAGCTAAGAAGGCTGCATTGACAACATATTGCAGAGGCTGAGGCCTTCCATGGTTTAACTGAATCAAACCTCCTGCATAACGTCCAAAGTTACAGTGGTCAAAGAAAAGTACACAGCCAACGCAATTGAGTATGTCATGGTCAACAAAAACGGGAGATATTTCTACCTTTTGTTCTATTAAAACTAGTGAAAACTGGAAGGAATGAGCACATGACGATGCTGGTTTGATTGTGAAACGTGCTCAATATTTCCTCGTATGGATAACCAGGACTCAAAAACAGTCTCAACCGGCTCAAAAGCACCTAAAACACAAAACATTGGTTATATTAGCAACAGACATACAAGCTATTTCCCGAAAGCTCTATAGTTAAACTTCACCTTTCTTGCCCAAAGTGAAATGCACATTAATTATTTGAATATCAGAGTGCTCTAAACAACACAAACGAAGAAATAAATTCTGAGCAAACTTTTACCCAAAAACCCTTTACATCAAATAATCAAAACAGAGCAGACAGGCACACAAGGTACAAGACAAGAAAGAAAAGCAGCATAAAGTTACCTGAGCAGCAGGAAGCTTGTTATCCCAGCTAAGAACACCATAATCTGGGCCTCCCCAGAAAGCACCAGCATGCTTGGCAAGTTTAGGATGAGTAGCTAACTGCAGGTAGGAAGAATTCCCAGTGGCATAGTATAACCAGGCTCCACCCCAAACAAACTCATCCCAGTAACTGGAGGAGTTATAAAAGAGGGCAGCATCGGAACCACCAGCACTGTATCTCCCTCTTTGGTCCCTAGCAAACTGAAAGAGGGTCCGGGCACCATGGACAAGCTTTTGGGAGTATGCCTTGTTGTCTTTAAAAACAATGGAAGCAGAAGCCAAAGCAGCAGCCATTTCAGCAGCAAGATCAGAACAGCTGTGACATTCATAGACAGGACGAGGGTAATCAATGTCCTCGGGGCGCATCCAGCAATAGTGATCATTTGGGGATGTACTGCCTCCGGATGTATCTCCTACCCCAACCTGTGAATCTATAAGTTAGCATATGACAATTAACAAAAAAAGAATCAAATAATTATGGTGGAAATATAATTAACTAACATATAAAATAATACCTGCGCTGCAACCCTGTCTATGGTATCAGCAGAATTGTTGAAGGTCTTGAGAAAATAGTCCGTACCCCATTTGATGATATCTTTAACATGATTGAGCTCCCCGGCAGCCTCGTATTTAGCACTGTACTCAATGACGCTCCAGCTCAACATGGTCATGGCAAAAGATGCAGGAAAGTTGAACTTGATAGCATCGCCGGCGTCGTAGTAACCGCCCACCAGATCCTTCATCAAAGTGGATGGATCGGATTTGCCATCTCGGAGGCACGAGTTCCCTCTCCACGACACATTATTATGCTTGGGCAGCTTCCCGGCTGCAGGTAGTGGATTGATAAATTAGATTAATATTATGGGTAAAAAATGACAAAACAAGTAAAAAAGCACGGATAATTGAATCTGATCCGATCAATACCCAACATAGCAAAGCAATCATGGTTGATTTCCAGTTTGGTTAGATGGGATGGGATGGATGGGATCTCAAGTTAAACCCACATAAATTAATTCAAGGAAACTAACAAAAGAAAGTAATGGAGAGAAAACGTACAACGCTGAGCATTGAAGAACATGAGCGCCTTGCGAAGAGCGAGAGTGTAGTTATCGGGCGGGGAGTGGCCGTGGTGATGACGGGGAACTGTCTTGACGATTAGGGTGATGAATCCGGCGAGGAAGCCTGAGAAGAGCAGGGTCCCCACCGTCCACACAAAGATCTTGCGGCTGACAATGATGCATCCCAGATCAACGTACTTCTTCTTCTTCTGCTCGCCGGGGCCAAGCAGCCAGCTCTGCTGGGTCTCATCCAAGGGGCGAGAGAGCGCAGCCCTGTCCAAGTCCTGTAGATTCCTGCTCTTCTCATCGTCTGTGGCGGAGTCAGCCGCGTTTATCTCCAACGGGCCTCCCCATGGATCTCTGCCGTACATTCTAGTATGGAGTAATTTTTTTTATTTGCTTTTAGTCAGACAGCCAAGCAAATGGCCCAATATTTGAGAGGTTGTAGCGGCAGCAGCACCACCGACAGATCTGATAAATGATGAGGGGAAGGGGAAGAAACTGCGTTGATAAAATATGTGCTGATGTAGTCCGTCGGTGCTTTTCTTTATTAGTTTTTGGAGTGAGAAGTTGGACTTCACTTATGATTTGGATGCCAAGGTGAAAGGTAGTACTGAGCTGGAAGCTTCGCATGGTTGGCTTCCTTGACTCACGCTTCTTCTATAATTGACCATTTGCCTATTTATTTATTTTGTTTGTTTTATTTTAGATATAAGTAAAGCACATGAAATATAAAATATATTTTAAATACACATAAATTATTATATTATTAGCTATATTTATACATTAAATATGAATTTTTTAATAAATTTATATATTTTCAAATTTTTAAATTTTATCTCTTTCATATTTTTATAATTTATTTTTATTCCATATTTAAGATTATTAAATATAATAATACATTTTATTAAAATACTTGATAAAATATAATAATGAAGGAGCGGTTGACGAAACTGACAAGAGTAGTAAGGGACAACGACAGCCTGCCTTGCCTATAATGGTTTTGCTTGGTTTCCAATTCATATTGTATTTTCTTCCCCCAAAGGCCAAAGCTCTAGTCCAAATGTCAACTAAAGGTAGGTAATGTTTAGCTTTTAGCTCATGCATTGCTTTCTCTTCTCATTTTTGAATTCTGTAAAAAGATTTTAAGGTATAATATTAATAACTTTAGGATTTGAGAAAAGCAATTTATGTTAAAAAAACATATATATGTGACTAATGCAGTGGAGTAGAATTAATTGCATATTCATTCAAGTGTGAGTGACATCTCAAAATGTTTTTCAAAGATATCGTTTGATTTGTTCATTAAAATCAATTTAAGTCCATTTAATTTAAATTTATTATTAAAATATCAGATATTATTTTTAAATTTAATAAAAAATATTTTATAAATAAATTAAAAATTTTTAATCAAACCCTCCGGACCGCTAACATGGATTCTCCATAAACCCAATCAGCCGGACTTTTTTTTTAATTCAACCGAACCTTTGCCGACACTGTAAGTCATCATTATTGCTTTGTATTTTATTTTTATTTTTATATCACGTGTCTGTTCGCTTCCTTCCGTCTTCCGCGTTGTACTCCGACACAACCAACAAATATAAAATATTTAATTGTACCATGAAAGCAATTTTGCACCTCTCCACCGAACGCACTCCTGCTTCTTTCTTTCTCTCGTCCATACCTACAAAATTTAATCGAAGCCTTTTATCTTGTATTGTTCCATTTTCTTTCAATGATTTTTTTTAAGAACAAATTTAAGATGGAGGAAGGTTTTTTTAATCTAAAATTAAGATAAATCATAAGTTTTTAAATAATTTTATATTAAATTTATAAATTATTTAATTAAAAAATTATTAATAACAGATTTTAATTTTATCAATTCAATCAATAATTTAAATAACGTTATTCTCTTTTATCAAAAGGATTAATTGAGATTCAAAGTTTCAATCCATGTATTTTTATATGTACAAGGAAATTTTAAAACTTCTTTTCTTCACCGCTGATATTTTTGTTAGTTTTGAATTTATTATTATTTTGAAATAATAAAATATTAAATTAA